AATTTTGTTTAAAATGTCTGACATTAACCTCAAAATATGTTTTCAAACAACTTTTCAACCAGTGGAGCTCAGAAAGTTTTTGTTTCTAGAACATTTCTAGAGATTATTCAGAAAGTTTCAAGTCTTTCAAGCAAATCTTTGGTTTTCAAACTTCAAAATTTCCAGGTTTGTTTTTCTAGAAAATTTAAAAAATTGATTTCATGATTTCTGACTTTGTTTTTTGAGTGAATTTTTGAAACTCAGAATTTTCCAGGTTTATTTTCCAGAATACTCCTGAGTTTAATCTCCTTCCTGAGTCTTATGTGTTTGTATTTTTCGTTGCCCTTTCTGCTCATGTTTCTGTGGTTTTCTGGACTCAGGCTGATCGTCAGTAAGAAGGAGCGCCGCCTGATGAAAGGCTCCGGCTTCCACCTGGACCTGCTGCTCATCGTGGTGCTCGGCGCCGTCTGCCCGCTCTTCGGCCTGCCGTGGCTCACCGCCGCCACGGTGCGCTCCGTGACGCACGTCAACGCGCTGACGGTGATGAGCAAAGCCACGGCGCCCGGAGAGAAGCCCGTGATCCAGGAGGTGAAGGAGCAGCGGCTGACCGGCCTGCTCGTGGCCGTGCTGGTCGGTGAGCAGAAACCCAGCCCACAGCTCTTCCTTCCACTCAATTTTCCAATAATAATATAAGTGGATCGATGTCTTCTTACAGAGCTTTGCCACTAATTTAATGCTACTGCGTTAAAACTGTGATTTTCAGAGAAAGATAGTTTTTTTGGCTGGAGGTCAAATTTATCTAAATTTAAAGAAATCAACACCAGTTCTGAAAAATTTATTAATATTTTTCAATTAACATGTTACTTTTTACTAGCACATTTTTTTCTTCCACTTAACCTTCCAGGTTTTCAGTTTCTGACAGCTGTAAGACAGAATTATCAAAATTAAAATAAATAAAAACCAGCTGCTAATATTTTCCTAAAACATGTTATTTTCCTCGAAGTTTTTCCTTCCACTTATTTTTCTAAATTTTGCATTTCCCCTTCACTGTAAACTAAAAATATTAAAATTGAAATAAAGATTAATCGGTTTTATTTGTAAAATTGGATACATCTTTCAATTAATGTGTTTTTTTTTCTTAGCAGTTTTTCCTTCCACTTGATTTTCCTAGTTTTTGGTTTTCGTCAGCTATAACACAAATTAAAATAAACGCTTCTTTTTTTGTAAAATTGTTTTTAAAAAAGTTTTGTTGGTAAAATTACATGAATGTTTTTCAGATAGTTTTTCCTTCCACTTAACTTTCGTGGTTTCTGCGACCCAGAATGATCAGACTGAGCGTAGGGAACCTCCCGGCGTTCGGCCCGGCGGTGTGATCATGTGACTCTCCTGCGTCGCTGCAGGCATGTCCATCGTGATGACCGACGTCCTGCGCCACATCCCGCTCGCCGTCCTCTTCGGCATCTTCCTCTACATGGGCGTCACCTCGCTGACCGGCATCCAGCTCTACGAACGCATCACGCTCATGGTGACTCCCGCCAAGCACCACCCGGACCACATCTACGTCACCAAGGTAACCCGGATCGTCTGTATTCAGCTCCAGGTTACCACGGATCCGCTCCTGGCCGCATCACGTCTCTGTGATTCTGGTGCAAGTTGTTCTAAATCGGATCTTCATCCTCCAGGATTTCTGAATGTCTCAGAAACTTTGGCTCCATTTTTAACATTTTCAAAGTTTAACCATTTATATACGATGTGGGAAATAATTAAAAGTTGCAAATTAACACACATCAATTTCTTTCTGAAATAAGAAAATAAACATTTTATTGCTTAGACTTTACAGACAGGATTCCTCCAGCGAACTCTTATTTAATTTCCCTTCGTTGTTCATAAAGTGATTTTGATTTTTAACTTAATTGAACTGAATCTGCAGCTAAAAATCCTTTGAATGTGTGGAAAGTTCAGAAGTTTCTGCTTAACATCAATACAGGTTGTTATCGGATTAATAACTGGATTAACTGAGATTTTCTTTTTCTTGTAGTGGCAGGTGAAGCTAAAACTGCCAGTAGAGAAGTGGGACATATTTACAGACTCAGAAATCAGTTTTTTATCTCATCTAAATACAAAATGTTTATATTTTTAAACATTTTTGTTGCTTTTTGTCTTTTTTTGAGTCTGTTTTCACCAACATGTTTTTCTAAGAGGCCTCAGACTCAGATCAGTTCACCCAGCGGCCACTAGATGGAGCCAGAAACGCATATTTGTGTTTCCTGACGGAGGAGAGCCTGTGTGGCTGTTTGTGCTTCAGGTGAGGACGTGGCGCATGAACATGTTCACCGTCATCCAGCTGGCCTGCATCGTGGCGCTGTGGGTGGTGAAGTCCACCGTGGCGTCGCTGGCCTTCCCCTTCATCCTCATCATGACCGTGCCGCTGCGCCGCCTCGTCCTCTCCAGGATCTTCGAGGAGCGCGAGCTGCAGGCGGTACGTCTGGCCGCCACCGCCGCCATGTTTCAGCGACACGGCGGCCATGTTGTTCCTCAGATTAAAGCTAATTTCACCCCAGATTGTTTTTATTTCACTGGAAAATTCTTTAACAAATGTCCGAGATTAACTTTAACATTATAAGTAAATTTAAAGATTTAATTTGCTTGAAGTTTTTAACCATAAAGACACCAAATTCATTCTGGAGCTCCAGTAACTTTAAAAATATAAAAAATTAAAATAAAACCTCTTCAAATCATTGAGCAGATTATTATAATTAGTTTCATCATCCAGTTTGTTTGTTTTAATCTAATCTTTAATATAAAAGTTACCCTATAAATTAAAATGTAATTACTTTTCATTATTACCTTTTTAACACAAAATTGTTTTCAACCAGTTGTGGCATAAAGTTAAAGTCTGAATACTCAACATGTTTAAAATGTTTTCAAATAACTTTATTTTTCTTACATGAAACAAATAAAATATAACAGTTAGAGTTTCACAGGCTTATCAGTTAAATAAGGTCTTATTATTACCAGGATTAAGCTGTAAAAACAGAAGAATAAACTTGTAAAAATATTAAAGTCTTGATACAATCTGTCTTCTGGACTGAAAACTGATTGGTTACCAAGGTTACTTCAACGCATCACAGCCGCCAGCCAATCAGTGACGAGCTCTTTGTGTTTAAAAAAGGTCAAAATGTCTCATTTTAAATTTTTCTTTGGACAGCCTCAGACAGGTTTTTCCAGACGCTTAAAAACCATTTTGAGGTTTAATCTGGTTTTTAAGTGGAACTGGGCCTCATCCAGGTGTTTTATGGTTTTATCGTTTCTGTGTAAAATTTGTCGCTCATTTTAAGACCATTTCTCCTTCGCAGCTGGACTGCGACGAAGACTCCCCCAACTTTGACGAAGACGGCCGAGACGAATACAACGAGATCCACATGCTGGTCTGAAGACCAGAACCCGGTTCCTGCTGCGGCGCCGCCGGGTCGGAGCACACAGAACCGCGTCACTCTGTGACGGTTTGGAAACGTTTCCATCCAGAAATCAGACGCTTCACCCTCTGATGGATCCTTCTGTCCCTTTACTCTGCAGGTCTGGGCAAAAGTGCAATGGGGAAACAAACCTGGTTTATTTTCCTTTTGTAAGGAGAAACCAGAGCTGCCTCTTCCTCTGCTCTGCCGTTATCGCTTTTAGAAACTAACTGAACTTCCTGGCCGACTTTAAATGTCGTTTTCTGGTGGAAACTCAGAGGAAATCTGTTAGTAGTTCGACCCTGAACGTATAAATATATAACTCTCACACACCCAACCTTCATTTTCTACTCTGTTTGTTTTCTGGTGATTCTGTGTAAAATTCAGTCAAAATCTGAATTGTGTAAAAGGACAGAGAGCAAAAAGTGACACTAAATGGGAGAAAAATGGCTGATTTTTAAATTCAATCAGTGTTGTTGCGTAACCGTTCTTTAAAGGTTTTGGTGGGAATTTAGTGGATTACGTCACAATGCTTCTGCTTTACAGTGACTTTTATATACTGATCTTTTAATCCGTTTTTAAAAAATCTGGTTCAGAAACACGACGGTGTGTTGGTGCCATTGTAGATGGGAAAAAAGCAAATTTCTGACAAAAGAATGCAGAAATTTGGAGATCGATCTTGGGTTGGAAATATTCCAGTTTTTTTCTTGAAAATTTCTGAGATTAATTTCAAACTTTTTCAAGCAAATTTTTAACTTTTCAAACTTTTTCAGATTAATCCAGAAATATTCTAAAAAAACAAATTGGAAATTTCAGAGTTTCAAAAATCGTCGACATTGAAACTTTCTGAGATTTATTTAAACATTTTTGCCTTTGTTAAGAAAACATTTGCCTTTTCAAACTCTCAGATCTTCTAGAAAAAAATCTTTAAAATTTTTGTGTTTAAAAAGTTTAAAATTGTCAAATTGAAACTCAGAAATTTACTTTTTTGTAGAAAATTTTGAGATTAATCTCAAAACTTGTGGATTTTTTGGTGAACATTTACTCCTTGTTTTTGTCTACAAAACATGCAAAAAACTCATCGTTGCACAACTTGAGAAGCAGTTGCAAGTGTTATTTATTGATCGCTAACGGGACCATCTTGACGTAATGTTACAATCTTCATGAAAAACAACCACGTCAGCAGAAAATCGTAATTGAGCATCACAGCCTGCTCCGTGACGTTAGCCTGAGCGGCTAACTGCTAGCTGCTTGGCAACAATCTTCTACACAATGTCAGTATGTTAGCTAATATGCTAATGTTTTCTTTGCTAGCATAAATTAATCAGCTCTGAGTTGCACCAACGTTAGTTGGTGTTGCTGCTTTCAGCAGGTTGGAAACAGGAAGTAGTTCCTCGGAGCAGGAAGTTATTTCATTAGTTCTTCATACTGTCACCCTCTCATCTGGAACCCAGCAGCTTTTTGGATAGCTAGCAAAGCTAATGTTAGCTAATGTGCTAACACTAGCGTTGCTAATAAGGTTCAGCTGAACACAACAATCCCAGCTAACTTATTATCCCAGTTTTGTGATGATAATTACTGTTTGTTTCTTTCTCTGTGGAAAAAATACAAATGACTGAATATTTGGTTATTTTATGCTCTGACTCATTAACATCCCAGATTTCGCTCAAATCAAACTTATTGTCTCATAATGACGTTCTGTGTAAAACTGAACAAACTGCCCTTCTTCACTTTGAGCCTGCAGGGTTTCTGTCTCAGGGGAAACTGACCTTTGCTCTGTAAATACTCCCAGCACCCAGTTGGACCGTTTGTGTACATAAAGCGAGCGACGGCCAAACTCATGTACGACTCAGAGGGGAAACCGGATTAAAGGGGCAACATTTCGCCGTTTCCTGTAAAGTGACGCAGACTGTAAATGCATTGAGGTTTATTTCCCTGACTGGTCTTTGCAGTGGAGCTCACAGCTGCTGCAGTGTGTGTTGAAACCTGCAGCTGACGAGCCGCTGTGCATCAGCGCTCTGCAGGAGGTTCACTGGAAACGAGCCGCTGTGCATCAGCGCTCTGCAGGAGGTTCACTGGAAACGAGCCGCTGTGCATCGGACCTCACCGGGTTCCTCTCGTTCTGCTCATCTTAAAGCTGAATGTCACTTTTGGTTTTTTCTCACAGGTTTTGGAAGTTAAATCACATTTAAAAATATTCAGTAGCTTTAAAACAAATTATCGTAATTATTAGTTTAATGTCTAAACCTGAACTTTTCTCAAATAAATGAAAACTAGCAGCTCTGACTATTTAGCCTTTGAGAGTCACATAAATAAACATCTAAATCTCTGTTTGAAATTAAAAAGTTTGTGTAAATTTGATTCTAAAAGAACATTTTATAGGAAATTTTCAGTTTAGTGTTTTTCTTTGTAAGATATTTTTATACACTAAAAAACTGACTCTAATATGCAAAACTTTTTATTAAATTAGAAAATGATTAATATGTTTATTTATTTTAGTAGTTAGTAAAATACATTATATTGAATATAAATATTATAACCCACAAGTTACAGCCATGGAGTTTTAGGGCCAAAGTAAGGGAGTTTTTTAATATTATGAGAATAAAAGACAAACGATAGTTTTAGTGAGAAAAAGGTGTTGATAGTTATTAAAATCTGATGTTTTTCTTCTAAATAAACTCAGTCGTTTCAATGTGTTAAAAGATGAAATATTTTATTTGTAAAACTTCACGAGATATTCATCAAACTTCATTTTAAATTTTAAAATTATTTTTCTTTATGAAATGTAATAAAACTGCTGCTTCATTTTCCTAACATTCTGGTTATGTTCCCACTTTGTTCTCATTATTTTGACTTTATCATCAGGACTTCAAACTTTATTATAAATTTATTTCTGTCTTTTAACAACTTTTTCTGACAAAATTTTGACTTTATTCTCATCTGATAATTATTAAAACAAATCTAATTTTTTATTTTAAAAAATAAACTATTTGACATAATAAATGTGACTAGTTATTTTATATAATTATCAATTACTTTGTAAGTTCATTATAATTTTAATTATTAGATGTGAATTAATCACATCAATTATTAGATGTGAATTAATCTAATAATTAATTATTAGATTAATTATTATATAATTTTAAATAATATTAAAATACATTTTGATTTATTATGCATTGTTTTATAACTAATTTGCAATAAGTTATTAAAATAATTTATTAGAATTATTAGTATTATAATTAAGAATTATAATTATTTACTCTACTAAATTATGATTTATTATTTTTATAAATATAATTTATTAGATTTTTTTTGTATACATTTATGCAATGTTTTCACTATATAGTGCCATTTTATTTTTGTCATATGTATTTTCACAAACATAAGAATCGGATTAAACCCAGGTTACCATGGAAACCCTGATGAGGCGTTTGTGTGTTAAAGTTCAGCAGGAGGATCTGATCCAGACTGTTGATGTTCAAACACCAGAGATGAAAAGACAAACAGTGATTTAATTTTTCTGCCGGTGATGATGTGACTTCTCCACATTTCATCGCCACGGCAACGAGGCAGCCTACCCACGGTGACCTGACTCGGGTCGAATCGACCTTCATCACTCTGAAGACCTGAAGCGTAAAGACAACCTGGATGTGTGAGGAGAGGTACAAACTGCAGCAGGGATGAACTAATGCGCATTCATTCATTCATTCATTCATTCACCCATTCACCCACCATGACTGTAAAGATGGTTCACAAATAATAATGGTTCACATTATATTTTGTCTGAAATAAAATGAATGATGCGTCACTGAAGCATTTAGTTTCTGTCCTAATCAATGTCCCTGAGGGACACCAAGAGATTTTATGGTTTATTATTTTTCCTTACAGCCAACGTTCAAAAAATGAAGCTATAAATGGAAAAAAAAGCCGACATCAATGTGAGTCGATAAATTGGCTCAGAGGTTATTGCGATAAATGATATTGTTTTTAAAGTGTAATAATGCAGGAACACATTCTCAATTTTAAATTCTAATGAACATTTAAGACTGGAACTGGCAGACATTTTAAATATCCAAACAAAAGAAACAATTTTTATTAGGTCTAAACAACAAGAAAGGGCTAGTTTACATTAAAGCACCAGATTGAAGACTTTTATCATTCAGTTTGTGATAGAATGAGAAACAAGATAAATTGGATATTATTAACCTTATTGTAATTTATGAATTGGTTTGTTACTTAGGAAAGGCATGATGCTGAATTGTTTTAAATCTTTTTATTCATTTTACAAATCAATCATGACCAAGAAAATGTCCATGTTTTGACAAAATAATTAAAATTAAATCATATGTAACTTAAAATAAGTGGTTGCATCAATATTTGATTAGATTTGTTTTATTTTCTCATTTTCTTCCTGGAAAACTGTTCTGCACTGCGGTAGTTCTGTTGCAGCTGGAAACAATATTTTGCTAATTAGCTACTTGTGTTCCAGGCGGATGATTATTGGTGTTGCACAAAGCTCTCATTTCCGCACAGACGGAAGGAAGCGTCGCCCATAAAGAGACAAAACCATTCCTCTTAAGTTTTCCGTTTAAACCGGGAAACGAGCATATTTTACTCCTCTTTGCTCCCTTATTGCTGTTTTCCCATAAATTTTCCACATTATATCGATAACTGCCCACAGCCCCCGCTCTCGCCCTCTCCGACGTTGGACTGGTGGGACATTTTGCATCCGGCGGCGGAAAATTTCCATATTTCCAAAACTTGACAGATGCGGGCAAAAAAGGTCCAGAATGTGGGATTATTTTAAACTAAACGGAAAATATCACAGTTCAACGGGTGAACTGCAGAACGGAAGTGACGTGTATGTCCTCAAACCTCTCAGCGGGAAACGTCAACTAGCTACTTCGTGACTGCTAACAGGTAAGGTTTGTTCCAATCATGACTTTTATCTGTGATTGTTAATACAGAATCTGTTATAAATACAACGAATCACATTTTGGCCGACATTGCATGTACTTACGACATGGAAAAATTAGATTAGAAATATCTAGATGTAAATAAGCTTTTTCATGCTTCGTACGTGAAACGAAATTAAATGCACTGCTCAAAAAAATAAAGGGAACACTCAAATAACACATCCTAGATCTTCTGAATGAAATATTCTCATTGAATACTTTGTTCTGTACAAAGTTGAATGTGCTGACAAGAAAATGACACAAAAATCATCAATGGAAATCAAATTTATTAACCAATGGAGGCCTGGATTTGGAGCCACACACAAAATTAAAGTGAAATGTTCCCTTTATTTTTTTGAGCAGTATATATTAAAGGCAGTGTTGACTAATGCTCTAATTTAAGCTTGCTTTAATATATATATATATATATATATATATATATATATATATATATGTTAATGAGAAATGTTTCTCATCTGATTTTACACTTAAAAATGTTTCACTAAAAGTGATGTTTGAACTTCATCCTAAGCATTTACGATTTTACGTTTCTTTTACCAACTTAAAGAGGTAATGCGAATTGGGACAAATTGTTTTTACTTGATTACTCGGTTAATCGTCAGAATTCATAATTTCTCGATTCTTAAGATGATCGTTTACAGCAGTAGACCTAGATTGCAGTTTTGTTGTTGTAGGCCTGTCCCAATAAGCGTTAAATCGTTCAAATAATTTCTGTTTGCATGATTTTTTTGTTACACAAAACTGGATGATAAAAGCCTGAAATCTGGTGCTTTGATGTCACTTTTGCTTGCAGAGTTCCTAATGAATTTTATTTGTTGTTTCTGTTGTTTTGTTTTGTATATTTAAAATGTCTTCCAGTTCCAGTGTTAAATGTTCATTATAATTTAAAGTTACCATCATAGTAGTCGAAAATGGTATCAAAACAAGTATGTTATCGTTTATTGCAATAATTTCTGATTTATCGTCCAGCAAAGTGTGTTACGTTTTCATGCCTCGTTGCACCTGTTGGCCTTTGTACGACAACAGAAGTTGCTTCAACATTTGGCTGTAAAGTTTCATTAGCTTTGCTGTTTTTGTTTCTGGGTGTGATGTTTTTCTACAGGTTTAGATGTTTAATGAAGCTTTGTGTTGATGTGGCCGCAGCTCCATCAGGATCCAAACAACAAAAGGTGAATAAGCTCGGATTGACGCGTCGCTGTCCAGTCTTTCCATACTGGTGTTCTTTCCATTACTCCCAGTTCCCAATTAAGTTACATTTAACCGGAGATCCTTCACCGCATTTTATACCTTTAATTGCCAAAGACAGAAAACATGACATGCACAGTAACATCCAGGCTGTAAAATGCTGATTCAGCAGTAATTGAGCTCTAAGCCGTTTCCGTGGTGGTGAGGCGAACACACAGAAAAGGCAGGAAGAGCGTGATAACTACCCCGGGGGCGATTAACGCCAGCAGGGTGTGCAGTGGGGGGTCCTGGACCTGCCTGCACTGGGAGAAGAACGCCTGGTGGACCTCCAGGAAGACGCCGTCCACCAGGAACATGTGACCCTTACACCAGCTTTGCTGCAGAGAGCTGTCCACACACATCTTCAGGCTGTTGTAGAGGCTGCAGGAGGAGGAGAGAGAGCAAGGCGGAGGGGAAGCGTTAGCGCCTCATCGGTTCAGATGTGTGCAGCGTAGCTACGGCCGGGTACGTCTGAGGAATCTCCACACTCTGTTTTCAACTGTTAAAACTGGTTAACTGGTTGCTGAGATGTGGTAACTGGATTGTCCAGGTCGTCTTTAAACGCACCACGAGTGCACCAGTTTCCTTCTAAACAGTCGCTGCGTTTCCATCACAAGTCTGTGGGAGATTTGTCTGCGTCTTATTCAGGCGCTGGAAAAACAAACGGCTCCTACCTGGGAGCGTTTTGGGGGAAACCGCAGTCGGCCATTTTACAAAAGAAATATGGATTCAGCATGTTAGAATATCCCTGAACGATAATGTTACTGTAATAAATTGTATTATTTCGAGACCATTTTCAACTAATATAATAATAATGGTATAAAAATGCAAGAACACATTCTGAAAATCAATAAACGTTAAATTCTAGTGAACATTTAACACTGGAACTGGAAGACATTTTAAATGTTCAAAACAAATACGATGAATTATAAAGTCTCTGTAAAAAAAATTATCCTTCANAAATGTTTAGTTGAGAACAAAACTTCAGACTGAAACTTTTATCATCCAGTTTTTGGTAGAAAAACAATAAATTGTTGGGTCCATTTTAATTCATCATGTGATTTATGGATTAATTTCTTATCTGTTGGAATAACTTTTTATGAACTGTTTGCTGTGACAAAACAAAAACAAATCATTGTCCTCCTACTATTTCCTGTCGTCTTCTTTGGTGTTTCCACCAGTAGTAATGTCCGACTGTTTATGTTGATCATTGATACGGCTCAAAAACTTTATCGAAAAATATAATTTTTTCTAAAAATTGCCGTGTTTTCATTAAGCAAATGTATTTTTGTAATCTTCTTTTGCATGCGGTTATTAGCTAAACGTTTAGTTAATCTATGCCAGTAAATCACTTTAAGCTGGTTAACAAGAACAATAATCTTATTTTCCATCCTGTATTCAACTTTCTTGCTTTGTTTGGAGGGAAACTCTGGTGTTTAACTAGCAAAGATTTAGTTTTTGCATATAGCGGAAAGAAATTCAGTTTTCTTCTTTCAGTAAAAGTCTTGAATGACAGTGATAAAACAGGATTCAGGAGGAAAACATCCGGTTGTCGATGGAGGAATTTTTCGGTGGAAGCTGCAGGAGGCCAATGATCTGCAGACACAACGGTGGAGAAACTGTTAAATCTCCAGAAAGTCCAAATGTTTATGCCAAAGTTCAGGCCTGATCCGAATCCAGAAGCTAAAAGCTGAAAACCAGAACGATGGCAAGAAATATGGCTCGATTTGTTGGAGAGAGAATCAGAGATCTGCCTGACGATCTGAGGCCAAAGAGGCTTCGCCGCTGATACTTGAGAGGAAATCATAGCTTAATATAACGTACAATATCTGGCATCGGAATAAACATTTCTGGGTCGAGTTATGTGTTATTAAAGCAGGACAAAGGAAAGCAAAGCTGCACTTTCAATCATGTGATCCAGTTGGACGCCATGAGCCAAAAACATCTCGCCTCAGTGACTCCAAGCTTCTTCTGAAGGAGAAACCGCCCTCTGCTTGAGGGCTAGCTTATATTTCATGGTCAGATATTAAATTGTCACATCCTGAAGATGTGGAGACAAGCAGAGCCTCAATAAATCATCACAAACCTCACAACCACTCATTGTTACATGATTTCAGAGTGGAAAACATCTGGGACTGAACCGGGCATCGCAGCTGGACCAAGTTACTCTGTCAGAAATTAATAGCAATAATTTGGTTAATTTAGTCTGTAATAAAAGTGTCACTCATTCATTTACAAATGTCTACATTTCAAACTATTTACGGAGCTAAATGTTTGGCTAAAGACCAAGCATTTGGTTAGCAAGCTAAAAATTAAGTTTGAGCTAAATATTTAGCTTGCTAGCTATATTATTATATAATGTTTAGGTAAATAGTTAGCTTTAAACTTTCTCTTGCTAACTAAAAATTTTAAGCTGAATATTTAACACAAATCTAACATAAATCTTGTTAACAAAATATGGAGTTGGCAAGCTAAATTATTGGATTCAAACTAAACGCTTGGCAACAAGTATGATGTTTATGCTTCAAAGTACAGACTTAGCATCCAGCTAAGTATGCAGCTTAGACTTAAATTAGCTACAGACTTAGCATTAAGCTATGTATGTAGTTTGAATTGAAGCTAAATATTTATATCAAACTTTTATATCCAAACTAAACATTTAACTCTAAAATAGCTAAATATTTAATTAGCTCGAAGATGGCAAGATATTTAGTTTACAAACTTTAAACTAAACATTTAACTTGCTAACTAAATATTTTGTTTGGAGCTAAATCTAGCTTGATAATCAAATATTGAGCTTCGAACTCTATTTTTTTGAGCTTAAAAGTTTTGTCTGTAAATTAAATATTTAATTAGAAACTGATATTTATAGATTAATATATAGCATGCTGAGAATATAACTTTGGAAAATCAAAGTTTCCCTGTTATTTCAGGCTAAGTAACTTGAATAGTTCCAGTTAATTTTTTGAGTGTCGCTCCAGAACCGTACTGGGCCGGTTTCATGACCCAAACCGTTTTGGCCGGCAGTTTGAGAGAAGAGCCTGGTACTTCAAAGCCGATGGTAAATCATCAGATATTTACGGTTTGACGGCCGGCCACGGACAGTCCTGCTGATAGCCGCTCGTCTCCAGGCTCTGGTTGAAATCGGACCTGCAGGTCTGGACGCTGAAGTGGAACCGGTTCTGGTCGCAGGGCGGGGTGACGTCCGCGTCGGTTCCTGGAGGAATCAGGAATCCATTTTTTATTATTACTCTGCACATAATTGATAACCGTGTTGCTTTAATGCGCAGCCTCCAGATTTAAACTTTGTTTGATTTGGACTCGGTTCGGGTTTATATAAAATACAGCAGCACGTTTTCTTTAGGCCCGCGTTCTGACAGGTTAACGAGCCAAAAGCATTAAATCCACATCGTTTCGCTACAAGTTTGAAGTATTTCTGTTGGAGCCGGCTCTGAGGCTGGACTCGGTCCATCTCTGACATTCTTGTTCCTTAAATTATTCAGCGATTTACTGTGAAAACCCTCCGCCTGCAGCTGCTTGTTGTTTCACTGCTGCAGAAAAAGTTTTCACCCCTTTCATATTTGTTTGGTCTCTGGAATATTCATCAGCCGTCGGCAGTCAGACAAGACAGAGAAGAAAAACCATCAATTTCTGTTAAATAGGAAAAAGTCTGTGCAGTTTTAAAACGAGGGATCAACCAAACCCTACCTGTAAAAGTAA